TTCCTTCAACATTCCGTACACTTCTAGACCCTCCTTATCCTTGGATTATTTCCTTAGATTCTGTTCGTCTCTCTCGGCACAAGCAACAGATATTTTCTCCTTGGACCCCTGTAGACCCTCCGTTTCCAGCGTTTCATCTTCGTCGATGTCGAGCCCCTTCCATACGTCCTCTACAACCTTGACCCATTCCGTGGGTTGTCTACCGGGGGGGGGTTCCACTAGCTGTTTTAGGTGCAATGGTTGGTTGTTGACCGGTGCCTCTCTTTTCTGGATGGAGCACTGCTATTCCTGCTCCTTTCAGCTGCATGATGGCTGGTGCTATTGCCCTGAGGGTTGATGGTGCTGTGTTTCGTACAGCAGCAGTGATGAGGCCGGCGGCACACGACAAGCGAGAGCTACAAAGAGCGGCCACCAGCAGCCGTCGCGGCTTCCCACAGATACAAGACACGGGCACCACCAAGGCATCAACAAGTGATATGCCGACCACGAAGCGACCAGAAGCCCACCTTCGTCTTCTCACCCAGAGCACACGAGAGCAATAAAACAAACAAAACACACCAACCACCAAACACACGCAAAAAAATACTCGCCTGCTTTCCCTCGTGCTGTCTCCCAGGCTTGGGCAAGAACACTACCCCGTTGTGCGCAGCGTATCCTTCCACGACGTCCTTGAAGCTCGCCGTCGTCGGCCCCCTCGATCGAGCCTCCTCGGCGGCGGCGGCAGCCGCGGCGGCGGAGGCAGAGGCGTTCTCGCGCTGCCGCGCCGTGGCGGCCTCCATCCTGCGGTGTTCGACGACGCGCATGTAGTCCATCTGCTCGCTGGCGCCCGCTGGCAGGGGCACGCCCAGCCGCTGGTGGTCTTGCATCACCTTTGAAATAATGCGACGAAAGAACAATGGAGGCATTTATATTCTTTTATCCGTGTTTGTGGTGCTTTGTACAATATTGACCGCGGCAAACCGGCGGGGGTACTACACTTCCATATCTGAACGAACGGAGACACCACGGTGGGACCCGTGCTAGACAGAGAGCACGGCCAGAATTTCGGCGACTAGGCGGGCGCGTGTATGGGACGAAAAATGAGCTTGCAACTGAGCCAGAAGCAATGTCGGTGAAAGAGGAGTCGGTAGAGAACCACACCAGGGGCTGGAAGACAAAGCCAAAATCCGTCTGTACCACCGAGGCCACGTACGAACGGAATGCAAGGTGCAACAGGAAAGGTCGCCACAACCACTCCAACATCGCCACAACAGCCACCAACATCGCCACAACAGCCTCCAACTGTATACCTCTATTGTCAGCCTTTTGAGTTCGGAAAAAAAAAACAGGGGGCCAATCAAGGATCAAAACGACGGGCCAATGAAAAAGCGCTTCTATTCTTTAGTTGACAAGTCCCTACCATACAAGATTTCTCCCCGGTCCTCCAGTTCTGCAGTGAGGGAGCTTACCTGGTCCATGAGGCTCAGAGCCGCGCTGAACTGGGCCATTACCCTAGGGTCCGATCGCAAGCTCTCCGGGAAACGATCCTTCCAGCCTTGGTACCATAAAGCAACCTAGCGATGGTAGCGCGAGGTGGAGATACTAACACCAAAACAGTATTTTCAATCCTTCTATTCGTGAACAAGGGGGGACTCCTGGAGAGTTAGGATCAACCACGGAATAGGAGTATGCACCTTTCCCTTAGAATAAAGGAGGGGAGAGGAGGTATTGGAACGAGGTCAGAATGGCTGTCAAGGTGAAAGCGACAGACAGCCACAACAAAAATGTAACGTAGCGCTGCTGCTGTCCTTACACCAGGAACACAGGGAGTACATGGAGCCAAAGGCAATAAAAAATGCACTGCTTGTGTAGCATGGTGTGCAAAGAAGAGTTGAGCGGCCACGGCATAGATTGTAAGCAGACATTCACCCGTACGCACCGGCTGACCCGGGTGAGCAGATGCTGGACTGATCTACAGTAGAAATATCCAGGAAATAAGTAATCTCATCGTCGAACACAAGTCGCTCGAGGTACCACACCTAGTTCGGGTAAAGAACCATCTCTGTCGTCGAACACAAAAAAAAAAACTCCTTGATGAGAAGGTCGAACCGACAAACCGCTAACCTCGGCATAGTCCGCTGTTTCGCTGAGCCAGCGGTGCAACACCGTGAGCCACTTGGGGAAAAACTCCACGTCGAGGATGCTCGTCATGTACAACGGCGGTAGGAGGTCTGCCCACATCATGAGCATGTCGAAGGGAGCCATGTCCTATGCATACAGCACGAGTAGACAGGAATTGGCGGGAGAGCGGGACGGGGCCAGGGAGAAGGCAAGGAAAAGGGGGATGTTGCTCGGAAATGTGAAACACACGCGTAGAGCTGAGCCAAGTTCGAAGTGAAGGAAATTTGGCGCGAGGCAGAAGAGACGGCTTCGGAGGGCGGCAGGGCTGCTCAAGCTGGTTCAACAAGACACCAGCCAACCATCATCATCATCACCACCACCGCCTTCACCAGCAATACCACCACCACCACCAGCAACAACAACGACAACAGCAATAACAACGACAGACCATCACCATCACATTCACCATCATCACCACCGCTACCGCCTTCACCAGCAACATCAGCAACAGCACCAGCAGCAGCAGCAACACCACCACCACTTACCACCACCATCACCAACAACAACAACAACAACAACAACAACAACAACAACAACAACAACAACAACAACAACAACAACAACATCACCAACAACAACAACAACAACAACAGCAACAACAACAACAACAACAACAACAACAACAACAACAACAACAGCAACAACAACAACAACAACAACAGCAACGACAACAACGACAGACCATCACCGCCACAATCGCCGTCATCATCACCACCCGCCTACAGCAGCAGCAGCAGCAGCAGCAGCACCGCCACAACCAAAACAAGAGTATGCCACACGAACATCACACCGTCAATTGTCATCGCCACCACCACCTACAGCAACAAAGGCGACGACACCACCACCAACAAAAAAAAACACCAAAACAGTAACAGTAACAGTAACAGTAACAGGACACAGTACCTGGTTGGCGGGGTTGATGACGAGCGAAGCCCTTAGGCCGGCCACCAGCTTGGGGGCGACGAACTTGCTCAGCAGAGCCTCCATGCTGCGGGAGTCGAAAACATGCTTCCAAGGGGACAGGATAACGTACACCGTGGAGTCGAAGACGTCGTTCCAGTGCACCAGAACGGCCTCCAGTTTTCGACGGATCTCGGGGAACAGGCCTTTTTATAATTTTTATTACGAGGAGGTCGAAAAATTCGAAACATGAAGCCGAAGCCGAGGGAACGAATGAGAAGCACGAAAGGGTTGAGACTCGACTGGAAGACGCGTCATGCACACAGAAAGCAAGGATACCCACAAAAGAAAAGCATTGAGAAAAATAACTGCGGTGCAGTTCAACATGACAATGCGCATATGCCGTGCAAGCATTGATTTCTTTTCTAGCTCGCAGC